ATCTATATGAAAAATAACACTATTTCCCCATAAGATAAACCTGATGGTTGGATGTTCACAGCAAAAGCCAGTCCTTGTCTTAACTACTCTTACACACACCCCTACACACCCCTCCCAGGTTAAAACAAATTCACATTGTTTTCAAGTAATTTGTTAAAATCAAAGGCCACTATCCTTATCCTTTGCTGGACGCTGTGGTTGCCATATTTACTTCCAGGTGATGCTTAATATTCTGTTTCAGTGGGTAAAGTTATAACAATTAAGGTGTTACTGCTAGTTCTAATTCAGGTCAGTAGTATAGGAAAATGGGAAAACAAGAGTAAAAAAGATAAGATATTATGATACCGTGCTTTCTAAAAGCACTCTCCTTTATGCATCTACATCCATATATTTATAACACACAATCTGTGCACTTTGTGATAAAAAATGACAATGACATTAATATTCTTAAACAACTTGACATAATACCCATATATTTAAACTGTGATTTCCAAAAATCATCTTTCCCAAGCAACTCTGACAGTGCAGTGTTGAAGTTATTAACACTGATTAAAAAGTGGCAATATATATCTTTATTAATTATGTCTTCTAGTTAAATGTCTCAATTTTGCTTTAGAAGAAACCTGGTAACAGATTATTCACATCTTGAACTGTATCAAGTAAATGCTTGACACTGATGGAGATGCATTTCATTTGGAGGATCAATCAGCTGCTGTAGAGATGGACACTGTCTTAACATGCCCTGTGTAGATACACTTTAAAGAAACCTGTGAGTGAAAAAACCATGGTTTGTGAGGAGAGGAAGAGTGCAGCAATGAAAACTGAAAGAACAAATGGAAGAAAGAATAACACAACTGTGAGGCTCTGAAATTCATGAGTTAATTCATGAGTTAGCACAGATTTGGAAAGTGCTATTAGAAGAAAACCCTTTTCTCTTCTTTTCCATGAAACTGTATTAGAATCAGCTGGCAGTGTGTGTTTTTCCAGCATCAGATCTTAATCCTATAGTTGCTGCATTGCACATGACTGAGGTGAAATGACAGCAAATTCCATGTAAGAAGCAGCAGCCTGGTCATTTTTGCAGCTATACAGCATAATCACTGTATTTTTACCAAGTTCATTTTTTAACAACTCTTGAACTTGCCTTACTTTCCTGAGTGTGTTGCTTTGAAAGTGACAACTCAGCACTACTTTTCCTCATGATTTTTCTTAGCTGTGAACAGGAAGGCCATTGACAAAAGCAACATAAAATTGTGAAAAGCTTTTATTACAATCTTTTGTATTACAATAGCCATATTTTTATAATTGTTTTAAAAATGAATTAAGTACTTTGCAATTGTACAGCTCTCCACTAAAACAAAAAGACCTTTTGTCTAGCACAGGTGCTTTGATACACTGTGTAAGGTACTGCATTCTGGACAAGACATTTAATCAGGAAAGACAACCCCTTTTCATTTACATGGGTTTCATGTTTCTTTAAAAAACATGCTGCAAAGAACCTTGAAACTGTGGACTTATTGTATTGAGACATTAATTTATTGTATGACTATAATAAATACAGGTTTTAAAAAGTGCATTATATGGTAATAACCCGTGTGAAGAATTTACTTTTACAAAATCCTCATTGTAAGGGAAGTGCTCAATTTGAACACAGTGCAAACAGTCAAGTTGTCCTGAGAATTTATACAGGTGATCATAAATTTACCTTCATGACAGGTGCATATTGCCACTACTTAATGGCTTAATCCCTTTTTGTCAACTAGGATCCTTCTGATGTTCACTACTGAATGTGACAGGAAAACATAAGTGCAAATTTAATCTTTCATGTGACAGGTGCCAATACCCACATGTGAATGTTTAACAGCTTAATCCAGAGATACTCTCAGTTTGTTACAAGGTCGGCCTGCCCAACTCACACTCAGCAAGACCAGAGAACTGGTTTAGTAACAGTCAATTCTCCAGCAGTGCAAGACAAACAAATACTTCAATATTCAAGATTTTGCACATGCAAACACCCTGAGAGGTTGCAGAAGACAGTGCGAGGCAAACTCATATTGCTGAGACGTGGATTTCTCACCTCTCTGACCCCGTGGTGTACGTGACATTCACCTTTCAGCTTTACATAGTCTGTCCCTGCCTGCAATAACACTCAGATCTGACATTTGCTAGCACATGAAAGAGTCTCTCCCAGAAGATGGCAACGGCATCTTTCCACTAGTAAGCCAAGTACTGCACTGGGCTCCAGCAACACCCATTAACTGGTGTCAAATACCAGCCTCGAAAGAGAGGGATTTTTACTGGTGTGCTGAGGGGCAACTCAGTGGTTTTGCTGATGGAAGAAATACAGAAATTTGGGAGGGAGGAGGAAAGAGGAGGGGAACAGTACTTTAAAATCGTGCTTTTTATTCAGCACAAGTGCTTCTGTGAGTCTGTGTGTTCGTTTTCTTTGTACTTCACGGACAACTACATGAAATGCCACTTCTATGGACTTTAACAACACTGGATAAACTTCAATAGAATTCCTTAAGTGAGCAAGTTTCACCAAAGTAAGGGTATGCAATTCTGATTCATGCCAAGATTCTTCTGCAGTCACTGAAGGCATGTTTCAGCTCATCTAACTTGACATCTACAGACGCTGGCGTGATTTGGCACAACTGCACTAACGCTGAGAATTTCAGTATCACCGAACTAGTCCTGCAGCGTTCTCTCTGCACCCAGCAGAGATGACACAGTTTGTCACACCACAGGTTATCTGCTAAATATAGCAAAAACATCTCCATTGACTATGAAGAGCATAGGTTGACTAGTTCAGATGTGTTATGTCCTGTGTTGTCTTATGTTGTCATATGAAGCCCACCATAGGAGGCAAAAACCTTACAATCAGATTGCCCCTTCTTACAGAGTTCTCATTTTTTGTGTGTATGAGGAAGGCTACACTCCCAGCTCCCTGCTCTGATTTTTCTAGGAGACAAGAGCTGCTGCCAGATGGGTAACGGTCCCTCCTCTAACCCTGATACAGA